AGCCTTATATTACCATTCTACAGTAAAATAGCTTTTTCTCAGAGAAAAAGTCATTGTCTTTGAATATTAATGTGATATTTGAAATAAGCATAAAATTCCGCATCTGATGATGGTAAATTTCATAAAATTCTAAAAAAAAAATTTTTCGATGGTCCTCAGGTCCCCTACAGGTTGCAAAAATTACATGCAAAAATGAAAGTCATTTTTCGACAGAAAAAAATACTTCATTTTACTCAGAATTCAATGCTGATTCCGAATATGTAATTCTTTTTCAAAAATATTTTGGGCGAAAAAATGGCCTTATCGATACTTGTCCTTTGATTTGTTCTAAGATTTAATACAATGAAAACAAAAAAAGAAATCGAAGAAAACAGATGGACACAAAGATGTCATTATCTTTTCGATAGGCGCTCTAGATTTATCTATCAGTTACGACGATATCTCGCAACAAATTAATTTATTTAAAGGAACGCAAAATGGTTTTCCTCTTCTTAAATTAAAAGATAAAGGATTCAGCCGGATTTGGTGACTCATCTCGAATCAGAATATCATATAGATGGTTTTGTAGAGTAACCTGCAGCACATTGAATGGTATATAAGAAACCAAGTTTTTCCTCAAATGTTGATGTGCCTAAACTATTTTAAGAGGCTATCGAGCAATCTGACAATAAGTCCTTACTGTTTAACTGTGAAACATATAGAGCTCGATAATGTACAGTCTTGAGAATGTTTCACATTGATGTCCACTTCTTCTATGGCACAGGGTTGAACACATTGGAACGCCATATAGGCAAACAATAGCGTAGGCGTATAGAAAATGGTCATTTTTTAAGTATAAAGAAAGCAACAATGAAAACTATTGAATATAAAAATTTGAAGAGCATCGAGAACTGTATCGAAATGAGTTTAAAAAATTGCATAAGTTTATCTTGGAAAATTCTAGGAGCCATAATGTCTTTGAATATCGTATAATATCTCTCAAGCATTATAACCAATGTGTAAACTCTCAGTGCATCGAAATTAGAGGAAAACTTGATTTTTTATATACCATTCAATGCGCTGCAACTTTCTCTACAAAACCATCTATATGGTATCCTAATTCAAGAGGGGTCCCTAAAGCCAACAGGATCCTTTATAACGTTTCTCGGGCTATCTCAAATACTTTGAAGCGAAAAAAACACGAAGACATTAATGATTATAAGACGAATCCAAATAAAAAGGTGAGGTGTAAGATTGAAGATGGTTTTACTCATCTGGATTCGAATGTTTTTACAGATTCGATCAATAATATACTGATAATAATCGAATGAGATGCAATGCATAGTACTGATAATTCTGTATTAATTGATATGATTGATGAAATTCTTGTTGTACGAAATACATCTTGCAAAATTAGAAAAGAGATTTATCTCATTTTTAATAATTATTTATTATAATTTACAATAAACGATTATACTAATTATAATTGAACATGTTACATTCTACAACACAATTCCTCTGTGTTAAACTCTAAACCCACTTTAGCTATAGAATACAAGAAAGATATAGTGAAATTGATTATTAGCTGCAATAAGTGTGTCAGTTCTACATTTTCGTCCCATACGAGACAGCGCTGATAAGCTTTTTTTTGGTTAGAAATGCATACTTTTTGATACATTAGAAAACACGTTGTCCTCCCCTTCCCCAAGTTCTGACGCATTTTTCTAATGAAAATTGAGTTTGAACCTCTTTGATAAGTCATCTGAACAGTCGATTTAATTTTGTAGCCATTCTAAAATTATCCAATCCATGTATTGACAAAGTTTCAGCTAGGATTTGTTTATTCAATTTTTGTTAACAATCTCAGACGAAAGATTGTGAATTCGGTCTGTAAAATGGTCATAACTCGAGAAGACACGCAAATACTTCTAGATTTTTCTAATTGCAGAAAGTTTTAAAACTGTTTCAAATAGATAAATTCAACTTCATGGCGAAAAAATAGTTGAAAATGCTTTGTTGCAAATTTCAAGCACAAACACTTAAGTCATACCATTTAGGTCTAAATGACAGAAGATATATTATCAGAATCGAGAATAATTTACTGCTGCCAATAAAAATGATATATTATAATAAAGACGAATCTCTCAATGCCGTGTCTCTCTTTCATATCGATAGTTTTTCAATGCATTCAGCTGCCAACTCATTGGGCATCGTCACTCTAAGCATTGATTCAGCTTCCATGGCTCGCTCCACTGTTTGTCGAGCATTGTTATTGCCTGACCATGATCGACGGCTTACACCATTGATTACATCCCAATAGAGCATCTGTCGAATATTCTCATCTACTTTTGTACTTCCATCAAGAAACATACCGAATCCACCTAAAAAGACAAGTGTATTGCATTCATCAAAAGAGGAAAAAAAGAAAAACTGTTCACCATTCATTACTTCTCCAAAACCAACTCCGCCACCGTTGTGCAGAGCAACCCATGTAGCACCTCTGAAGGAATCACCAATAACATTTTGTACGGACATGTCTAGACACAGATAAAGTCAAAAATGAAAGAAGTTGATTCTCTTCAATAAGACAGTTACCTGCACAAAACGCAGATCCATCTTCGATATTCGATGTTTCGCGAAAAGGTGAGTCGGTGCCCGATACATCATGATGATCTCTCGCCAGAATTATAGGTCCCCTGACTTGACCCGTTCGAATAGCTTCATTAAATGCTAATCCAATTTGAATACGACCTGTCTGATCCGAGTATAAAATACGAGCTTGAGAGCCAACGACCAGTTTTGCGTCGCCAGCTGTTCGAATCCATCTAAGATTATTTTCATATTGTTCAACAACATTTTTAGGAACTATGAAGAGAGACAATATTTTATATTCAGTGTGATTTTCAACGTACCGTCATTATTTAATATGAGTTGCTCAATAATTTCACTTGCAATCTTGTCTGTCACTTCTAGATCATTTGCCAAGCCGGACGTACATACCCATCTGAATATATAGAGAGATACAACGGGTTTGTTTTTTTATATCTACATCATACCGAAAAGGTCCAAAACCTAGCGAAAAAATATCACCCATTATGTCTTGTACATACGATGGATATTTAAAACGAAGACAGTGAGAAGATGATGAACTATCGCCACCAACTGATGCGCCTAAACATTTCATCAACACAAATAATCGAATGTATTATACAATAATACTGCACAAAACAAAAGACCTGCTCTCTTTGCCGTGAGCAAAAATGCATTGCCATAATCAAAAAAGTACATTCCACGTGCGTGCATTTTATCAATAGCGATGACTTGTCGTTTGATACTATAAAAGATAAGATGTCAAAATATCGCATTGTCTCGATCTAGCTAATCTCCAAATATGACTACTATAAATTCCTTTTTTTTTGTCAAATTATCTGATGTTCTAATATTCTGGCAAATGGAAATTTCATTTGCGACGAATAAAATAAAGTATGAGATCGATTAATATCAGAGCCTATAATGGGTTGGGCTAATCTGATTTTGTCATAGACGCTCATGGACTACCCATCTAAAAAACAGACAGAAAAAAAAATTCGTTTTTTTTCAATCTTTTTTTTACATGGACACGAGATTTGGTCCATGGCTTATTGATAGTCTATGGACCAAATTTTGAATAAAACGCAAAAATTTCTAGAAGTGTCTCGTATTCCCACTGGAAAATTTTCTTTTTCCGAAAAATCTCATATAGGTCTTTCATTGGCTGAAACATTTCGGCAATGAAGAGCGAGTAAGTATATAAAGAAAAACATATAAGATTCACACAAAGTGTCCACATGTGGACACAAGAAGGCAAATTCGATTAGTTTAAGTATGGAACTCGTTTAGTTTGTCCCTGGAATTTGTTGATCTTATATCGGCAAATTATTAATATCAATTAAATTGTCTATTTACGTTATAAAACTTCGTTGCTTCATTCTCCTCTTTCACGAACAAATTGTGATTTAATATATGAAACAAAAGTATAGTTTATAATGATAAATAACTTTGACCAGCATGACAAGTCAAACTATCTTTGAGAAAAATTTTTAAATAGACGGACAGCCTATGGTAATCCATGATCTAGACCGTTTGTGGAGGAAAAGCCATGGCCATGTATGAGCTAGGTCACCGTTCGACAACCCATGAGTCGATTTTGGTAAGACTAGCCCATTAAGAACTCTGACTTGTACATGCAAAACATCTATGAATGCTGAAAAGCAGCTAGCGTCATGTGCAGATTTGAAAACTTGGACTCGAAAAGAATTTTTCTAAACTGAACTTTCAAGCCTCATTTATTGTATGATGTCGACGAAGAAAATATAGTGTGACATTTTTTTTCTCATGAACAGCTGATTTCGACTGATCTAGACCTGAAAAATCATTATGTACATAACAAATATCTAGATCGAAGAGAAATCGAATGAATCTAGGGTAGTCATCGATGTTATGATTATTAATCCTTATTATAATCAACAATGACATTCATCAAAATAGTAGACGCGTTGATCTATTTGTATGCTATTTCTTTTCAGAATATGTTCGTGTCACAACTTAGAAGCTTACTAAAAGTGATATACCTTTCGTGCACCAGTTCTTTAAATTTTTCAGGTTCATTTTTCATACATTCTCGTGCTTCAACATATGACAACTAAAAAATGAATATTTGAACCATTTAAATTACAAAATAAATCTAATCTCACTTGAACCGGATAATATCCTCCATGATATGGATTGTGACACGACGTTTGATCTGAGCCAAGATCGACGAGCATTTCTTTCTCTATTGCTAAGCGTTCCCTTCAAATTAATATTATCTAATAGAGATGAAACATAGTAGACTATGGAAAACAAACCAGATATTGACAATGTTTCCTACATAGCCAATAGACGTTGCAATTTGTTTATTTCGACATTCTCTTATACGTTCAATCAATTTATCAATATCATATAACAACTCTTGACACCATCCTTGACTATGTCGCTTCTGTGCTGCTTCTTCACTCACCTTCGAAGAGAAATCAATTTTTAAAAGATGAACGAAGAACAACATATATGGCAGTCGAAAAGCGCCATAATGTTATTTTTAGCTTCTTGTAAAATCTCAATTAGTCTTCTCATTTCATTATTCTTAAGATACAAATTCCACAAGTTGCAAAAGTCTAATTGAAACAAAGCCCGGTTTTCCCAAAAGAAACATCTGTTATTCGTCTATGTTGTGCAATACGATCTAAAACGAGTGTTAAAGTATATAGAGATAGAAATTTGGAACCACTCTCCCCTCCACAGATGTGACAGACATCTTAGCAACTAGAGTGCGATATTGCCATTACTAGTAATAAAATTAATAATTAATAAGATCATAAGTAATAATAAAGTATAAGTGATAAAGCTAATTATTACAATTATTAATCGCTAGAGGTAATTATTAAAACAAATCATTACCAGTATTAATTACTAGAAATAATTAATGAAATTAATAACTGTTATTATTAATTATCAGTGGTTAGTAATAAAATAAATAGCTGCACTTATTAATTATTAGTAATAGGTGGTGGATTTTATAATTGCTATCATTAATTAATAATAATAAGAAACAACCACGAAACAGTAACTAGGTAGTAAATAATCAAGTAATGGTAATGTAACGTCCCTCTTAGCGACATCACATCACATCACAGATCGTGATAGACATAGTCTCAAAAGTGCAATTTACTTAGGGCAGCCCAAAATTAGTGAGAGGAACACTTTAATTCCTCATAAAAAGCGTAAAGAAACATTTTCCCTGTATATTCTGATAGAAAAAAGAATGCTCTATTTTTCTATGCTATTTGATCATACTTCAACTAAGATCATAATAATAAAATTTCAATTAGATCTGTTTTGTTCGCATGTGTCACGGTAACATGAATGCTAGTGAGTATTTTTGAATAACTCTAGCTAGAAAGAAGATAGAGAGCTGCAGTTTTCACCATTGGAAAGAACAGATCAAAATACATCGAACCATGTATTGTAGGCTTTTATAATATTGATTTCTAAAGCACTTTTATTCAATTTTCTAAGTATCGAGAAAATGTATTTTTTTATGAAAAAAGGAGAAGTACACAAGTGAGCTTCTCTTACAGAAATTGCTAGAAAATCGTATTAAATGCTCGACCAGAACACATAATATTCATCTCAGCCTTCCGCAGTTTCTAGTCCTTTGATTAATGGTTTGAATGTACACTTGCTTCTTAAAATTTCACTGTAAATAGCTTACGGGAAAGATTTGTTCTAATAGATCAATTGAATAACTTATAAAGAGCAGGTCGGAGAAAATCTGTAATATACGATTCAATGCATCTTGATCTACTCTTTCCAATAGTGAAAACTGCAGCTCTCTATCTTCTTTCTAGCTAGAGTTATTCAAAAATACTCACTAGCATTCATGTTACCGTGACACATGCGAACAAAACAGATCTTATCGAAATTTTATTATTATGATTTTAGTTGAAATAGGATCAAATAGCATAGAAAAATAGAGCATTCTTTTCTCTATCAGAATATAGAGTGAAAAGGTTTCTTTACGCTTTTTATAAGGAATTAAAGTGTTACTCTCACTACTTTTGGATTGCTTTAAATATTATGTATTTTTATAAACTACTAAAAGAGAAACCCATAAGTTTATAGTCAAACTGAAAATGTCTAGGAAAATATTGATTGAATTTTGGACGATGAATCGAAATGAGTATCGAGTGTATACAGTATTGACCTTAACCGATTTATTAAACGCGTTTTTCTATTAGTAACAGCAGCTATATCGTGTTTCACATTTTAATCCCACAGAGATTGCGCTAACAGTTTTTCTACATTGACATGAAAAAGCTTCAAAACTTCAGTATTATGAATGAAATATTTTCCAAAAAAGAATCCTCATACCCTTTCGGACTTATTGGACTCACAGAAATTTTTAAGAAGTTAGTGATCACTTCTTGTATTCCTTATGAGCAAAATGTAAATCTCAATGTGAAACGAAGTTTATACCTAAACTTTATAACGTGAGGTACTTTTTTTTGAAATTTTCATCACTTTCCCTTCGTCTAAAAGCTATTCAAGTCGAAACACCAAAGAAACACTGGTATTTGCAGTTTCTAGATCCAGATCATTCCTTAAGAACATCGCTTACGTAGTGCAGAGTGTCCCAAAAATCCGATCGAAAAAAAAATCGTAAATATCTTCGTCATTGCTCAATCAAAAAAAACAATTTTTTTATCTCGCAAAATCTGCTGAAATATGGCATTCCGAGTTTTAGTAAAGATCTCATAAACTTCCGAGATGCGTTACTTAGATTATCAAATATGTTCAGTCAAAATATTTAATTGAATCTACTTACTTCAGCAATGACTCCAATACAACCAAGAAGCTGTGCTGCTTTACATTGTGCTCCGGACATTCCACCCATACCTATGAGAGATTTTCAGAGAAACTTCAACAAGTAGAGAAGATATATCTACCAGAAGAAACAAAAACTTTTCCACGCAAATCATTTGCACCGAGTTGCTTTCGACCTGCGCTCATGATTGTGATCTAAAGACAACGTATACCGTGCGAAAAAGTATTATGTGTATTTTTTTATGTATGAAAACAACGTGTGTGCCACTTTAAAACTAATAAAACATGGAATTCCGATCTCAAATATCTTCTTCGTATAGTGAAGCTCTGCAGACAAAAAAAGGCAGATAAGCTTTACACTTTAACTCAGTTAATCAGTTTGTTAATCATTTTTATCTATGTTCAATACGTACAAATGTGCCATGAACAATGCCTTGTGGACCAATGTAACAATATGATCCGGCTGTCATTTGACCATACCTATATTTTTATCTGCTACTTTCTTTTTTTATTTCAAACTAGTATAATGACTTACATAGTACATCCAAGTGCAAACATTCGTTCGTAGTCTTCCATCGAAGAATAATTTGGAATAACCTAAGAATTACAAAAGGAGGATTAAGTCGCTTTCCTTTCATGACATACTAAGCCATTTGTAATAACCATACGTGGCGAAAAATCTGTTCGAGTCGGAAAAAGACCCAACGGGTGGCCTGAATACATAACTAGAACCTGTTTATCAGTCATTGTGCTTAAATAGTGCATAACAAGCAAAAACTAAACAACAATAATGGATTCAAATATAAAAACGAAGTTTTTACTTGAGCCCAATTCGAAAAGACTTGACCATTACCACCGTAAGTCACCAGTTCATGGGGAAATTGTGCGACACGCTTATCAAGATTATTCATTATCATGAGCATGATACCAGCCGCTGCCTTACACTTGCACGGATAGTCATCAATTGGATACGCTCTACCGATGATGTTTACACGTATGATATTAGCAGACAATTGAATACGAGAAAAAAGAGCATAGCATACTTTATTTCAATATCAGGTTGAAAACGATACATGTAAATATGACCAAAATTCTCTAACTCATATTTGAATTCGTCAATTAATTGTGTTTGGACATCAGATGGAAAATAACGAAGAGCATTTTTGATAGCTAACTATAACGAAGAAACAAATACATTCTTATTCAAGCACAACTCTCTGAAAGTTTCACCGTCCAAAAGTTTTTTTTGAGCTTTTCGTGAGGAAAATAATTCAGGATATCTCAGAAACTTGTATGTATGTAATCTCAAAAAGCAAAAATTATATAGTCGAGCACTAGAATCAGTTGATACAATTTTACTCGAACTACGAAGTATGTGATATGATAGAGCTTTTCGAACAAAATTGTATTGAAAGATTTTGGTGCTCAATCGTATAGTTTTTGATTTTCCAAATTGTACACATTGTTTTTGAGTCATCCTGTATATATTGAGAATAACGTTGAGTTTTGCCTTTTACTAAAAGAAATGCTTAAAAACTGTTTATTTCTTAGCTCATAATTCTATGATAATCTATTTTGAGATATGATTGAAAGAAAGGCAACAAAACCTTTTGTTCTGCAATCGTTAACAATGGCTTTCGATCAGGTGCATGTGGTACACTTGGATCACGCATTTTTCTTGCCGGTGGTAATGGATGTAACGGTAAACCTGCACAAACTTTTTTGAGAGTATCGACTGACATCTGAAATATACACAAATAAGGAAATAGATTTGTACGTATAAAAACAATAGTACATAAAGAGAAAAATCGATGAGTATATGTACTCTTTTCAAAGTTACATTTGAATTTTATCAAATTTTTGTCTTACGAGGAAAATTTTTCAACTTACAGAGAATTTTTCAACTTATATTCTGGCTAGGAATTCATCTTGGTGAACATAGAAAAGCTGAGCATAGTTCGGATCAAGTGATTTTTATTTAAAAGATATCAATTTTCAAGATTAAAGAACAGCAAATTTCACGTATCAGAGGGTTTTTATTTTTGACTCTATAAAAGACCCTTAAATTATATGATGGTCTTTATCTGATAGGCTCCGGTATTGTAAAAGTCAGAAAATTTCAAAAGTCGCTCATAAATTATAATGTTTTAAAGTTCATCAGATAGCCTAAGGATCTGCTAGACGATAAAAAAATAAAAATTCTATGATACATCAAAGATGTTCTTCTTGAAGCTCGAAAATTTCATATCTCTTAATCTAAACTATTTTCAAGTTTTCTACATGCACCAGTAGCTATTTTTGATCACAATATTATCTCAAAAGCAGTTCGTAATTTGAAGACCTTCTCTCGATCGTTTCTGCGTATTTCGTATGTTTTTGATGTAAAGTTCATAGAGCTGTGCCTGATGTCAAATAGTAGAAGAAGTTCAATAACGATACCACATCTTTGTGATAAGAAAAGTGTTTCAAACAATAGACTAAGCAGATATTTTCCGTTCGTTTTCAACACATTGATGATAGCTTTTGCCAAGATTGTCTTTACTCTGTGATCATGTTTTTGAGCAATTCAAATGAGTCTTCGTACCGAGTAACGAATTCAGATGCACATATATGCCTATGTTTGTCCAACATGGTATAGTTATCCTTAGGAAATTTAGTAGAGCAAGTATTTAAATGAATGTGTTATCGCACTCTTTAGACTAAAAATCTTCAACAATACAATAAATTTCAAAACTGATATTTCCAGTGGATTAACTCTACATCTTTTATACGAATTCCACTAGACTTTCTATTTTTATAATATAACTGTTCTCAGAAATTTTCAAATTTCTGATCTAATTCAAACAAAAGAAAGACTTTTTATGTGAATGCCTTATCGACACGTATTTTTATCATAAAATTAAATAGTTCTGTGATCTGTATGTGGGAAGTTTTACTGTCACATTCAATTTGATATAATTAAATCATATATGACGCTTCTCGTCTGTATCGGATGATAACAGATATAATGAACAAATGAAATTGACAAATAAACACTCGTTACTTTGTGAAAGAAAACATGTCATGACGCTAAACAACTAGTCGTCAAGATTTCTCATCATATTTAGGCCAAAATTTTTATTTAACAATATTACAATCAAATAATGTGTACAACTTGTCAATATGGATTAACCCATTGTCCTTCAGTGCTTGTCTAACTCAGTCATCGAATGAAAAGAGGCTTCGATATGAAACGTACGTCGACGAATGAAACGATGAGACGTAGATGTACTGAGAAACATTTCTTCACATACCTTCTGATGATTTATTGAAAGTACAGATCATATTATATCTGAGATTTTTTCCTATGTATATTTACCTTCCATAGCTATCAACCAGTTTCATTGACTGTCTCTCACGGAATAAGGAATGTTTCATGTGTATTATGGACTATACCTGGAATTCGAAGTATTATAGCTCATCTGTATTACACCTATTTTATTGAATTGGAACAGTACATTAAGTGTCATTCAGTTCAATACTGCCTGTAAAATTCACACAAGTCTTTCCAGATTAATGAGAAGACTGTCTTTTTTTTTAAGCAATATTCTTCTGATTCATTACGATTTTTAGTCACTCGGTGAATACATATACTACAAAATAAAAGAAGAATAAACATCAATAAAAATGTTTTTATTGATGCCTATTCTTCATTTATTCAGTATTCTTCTGTCATTATCTCAAACACTGCATCTGTGATGTTTCTCTTTCCAATCACAGATTAACTATTTTCGAACAATAAAATAAGAAATTCTACCTAAAAAAGATTTTCATATCACATAAAGTATATATTGTTTCCCTTCACGACATTACTTTCTACAAATATTCAATCTTATATGATCGTGACACACTATGAATACGACATAAAGTTAATTTTGCAGGAAGTTTAGAGTTCCCTGAGTAGCGGCATAACCAGAAAAATTTGCTAAAGGAAGGATCAACCTCGTTTAAGCACCTGCTAGGCGGGGGGAGGGGTCATATCTGCACTTACAGCAGTCTCAAAATTTTCTAGGGCAACTCGAACGTTCATAGGAGGAGGAGGGACTGAGCTCCTCTAGTAGAGACCTGCGGATCCATGTTTTTTTGGACCCGGATCCGGTCGGATCCAGACCCGAACCCGGTTGGATGCACACCCAGACCCGGATTCGGTGAGCTCCAGACTCTGACCCGATCGGGTCCAGACCCGTACTCGGTCGGATCCAGACCCGGTCTTTTTTTCACCAATATCTGGCACCCTCTGTGTACATGAGCAGATAAAGGTACAAGGTTTTAGCTCTTTTTGGCCACTTTATATATTTAGATTCTTAACTTAATGCAAACCGGATCTGAAGTTAAACTTATATATAGACCCGGACCGGGTTCCCGTTGGGCCCGGATCTAGACGGCCAGCAGGTCTCTGCTCTCTAACCCCCATCGGGTTACGTTACTATCCTTGAGGCACATATATGCTCCACTAGTTTAACAGTAATATTATTATTTAAAAAAGAACGGATTCTGATATGAATAGTATGTGTTTTTATTTAAAGCAGTAAGGAATATTTCTCTCGCTCTAATGACATTATAGACAGGTGTATTCGGGTGTGATTCTGGGTATGCCTGAAAAAAGATATGCAAGTGAGGGTGTGTTTGTGGATGTGTGTGAAGAGAGATATGGAAATGAGGGTGTGATTGTGGGTGTGTCTGAAAAGGTGTATAGAAATGAGAGTGTGTTGGAAAATGACATAGAGAGTTAATAACACTAAGTCTATGGTCACAATTTATCGGTATATTATTATGAAAATAGAATTAGTAACTCATCGATCCATTCTCTCCCACTTTCACAAAATCTATATGTAATTCAAATGAATTACACAACAGTTTTG